AGGTTTTACTTTTTTCTGTTGAACTGAATTGATAATATCTTCATTTGTAACATCTAAATTTACAAATGAATCATCAATTTCAATATAATTATTTATATCAATAATATCTTTATAATTATATGATAATTGACTAATCATTCCTCCATTTCTTCTAAATTTTGTTGTGAGAATGGAATTATTTCTCCAGTAACAGTACTATCAAAAGCAGGAGTTTAAGGATCATCTGTTTCTTGAGAATATTGTAAAGGTGAAATAATATCAGTTTTTTTCCAACAATTTGAAATAATATTAGAATTAACATTATTCCAAGCTTCCTTAATCCAATATAATACATGCTTGATATTGATTTCTTCAGAAATTCTTTCAGTATTATATGTCAAATTAAACTGATCCACCTTAAATTTTATCAACAATTTTCTATATTGGACCTATATAAATTAAATTTAATTAATATATTTAAATAATAAAATAATTAAATTTAATATTTACCTTAAATGAATGTATTGTTCCTGCATCCATTAGTTGTAAGTGAGCTGTTGTATTGGCAGGTAATGGATGCAATATAATATTTGACAAATCCTCTGATTTTAAAGAATATTCACTAACATGAGCAGGTGCTTGATTATAAAGAAGAATAATAGATCTATTTTCTTCTTTCATTTGAGTATTTAATTGAAATAAAAACTCATTTCAAATTGTAGTGGTCATCCAAGCAGTTTTATTCCAATAATAATTTACTGGAAGGTCTTCTCTCTTAATTTTGTTTAATACCCAAAGTGATTTAAAGTAATGAATCACCAAAGGCTTAATTTTTATGGAACCTAATAAAATATACAAATATATAAGTAAATAAAATTATTATAAAAAATCAAATCCTTTAATACCTGTAAAATTTGAACAAAAAAGAATTGTCACTCTTTGCTTGTTCTTTTTCTTCCCAATTATTGTTTCTTTAGCAAGAGATCTTGAAGGTTCCATTTTTCAATAAAGACCAGTTTAATCACAGTTAAATATATTTTCTAAAGACCAATCCCTTAGTAAGTCTTGTAAAAATTCCCTAAATCTGGGAAGTTCTTCCAATGAAGCACTACTTTCTTCTCTATAATGTATAAATTGTTTTAAATTTGCCCTTTTTTTTAAGTTTGTCAACCAGCCTTCTAATGCATTGAAATCTGAAATTTTTAAAAGTTTGGCAAATTCCTGGGCCTGGTAGGTTAAAATAAATCCTATAATGGTTAAATTTATCTTTAATGCTTTGTCAACTCATAATATTAATGCTTTTTCCAATAAAGGATATTTAGGATTTCTTTTTTTTTTCTTTGAACTTCAAAACTGATAAGATCAATATTAAGTCAATGGTTACTGTCTTTCAGAATTTTAGAAACAGTACTATAACTAATATTATATTTTTGGACCAAGGTTTTAATTTGGATATCCGGATTTCTTTATTTTAACAAACAAAGTGCATGTTTTTGATATCCATTTAAAGTGTGTTTAGCAAATCTGATATTATGTCTTATTTTGTTTGATATAATAATTATAAAAGTGAAATGGAAGTTTTAAGAAAGAGAATTTAATGGATTGATATAAAATGTGCATACATATATAAGAATATCAATTATTTTTATCCCCTAAATTAATTTTGTACCCTAATTAATTATAACAAAATTTTTATTAATTTTATTAATAATTTAATAATTTTTTTATTAAAACATATATTGTTATTATAGAATTTTAATTAAAAAAACTTAATAAATATAAAATTATTTAATTTAAATTAATAATTATAAAAAATATTAATAAAATATTAAAAATTTAATAACTTTTATCAAATTTATAACTTTATTAATTATTAATTTATTTTTATTAATTATTATTATAATAATATATATAATCTATAAAATTAAGCTTTAATTACATAATTTTTTTATATTAAATAATAAATTATTAAAAAAAATTTTAAAAAATCAAAAAAAAAAATCAAAAAAATCAAATTTCGGCATTTTGGCGATTTTTGTTGATGTTATTATAGTCACATGACTTCGATAAATTTAATGATAATTAGGAATCTACATAAGAGAAACCCTAGTTATAATAATCCTATCTAATTATAGGATTATCAATAACAAAATATAAATTTTGTCATACTTTCTTTTATTGAGAGTTGACCGTACAGACATCATCAAGCATTAGAAAATAAAAAGTAATCATTGATTCTTGATGATACAGTTTAAATGCATTTACTATTTTAAAAAATTTTAATTTTGTATCTGTGATATTTAAAGGAATGTTAGATATTAAATTTAGGAAATCTTCAGATATATAAAAAATAAATAAAATTAATTAATAATAATATTTATTATAAAATGAAAAAATTATTTATTAACAATAAATCCAATTTTTTATATTAGTAAATACTTATTTTTAAAGAAATATCAACACTTAATTAAAAACTTAGCTTGATGATAAATATTGGTTAAATAAAGTATATATATATATATATATATTTAGTAAATAAATATCATTTCTTTATTTATTTTGTATAGTGATATGTATACATTATAAAAGAAACAACATCTCTTATGTGTAACAAGACAATGAATTAAATGCTAGCTTGCCTATAGTAACTGCTTAACTAGTATTGAAAATAAATTTTAAAACAATACATCTTGTCAAGTGGCTCCAAGTGGCTATGAATACCTACTTAGCATTTTGTGAAAGAAGATTAAAAAATTAGTTATTAAGTTGGAGATGCATTTGAAGAAATTGTATCCACTTTGGATATAAGAATCTGCTACAAATTAATAATAATTGAATTATTTGCAATGAAAAAGAAGAGGCTTTTGAATGGATTTGGTTTGGTGGGATTTTGGTCATTTTTTTTTGTTGAGATGGTGAAGTAATTCTTGTTCTATTTGATACTGATGGTAAAAGAGGTGTTAGTTGTGGCACACCTGGGTACCCAGATTAGTTTGTATAGATATGCTAGAGTTTCAGATAATGCTTTAATTCAATTGGATAGATTGGATATGGAAAAAATGTTGTCAGTAATACTGCACAGCAACTCCACTAATTGTCAGGCATGTGTGATTGGTTTGTGATCACCTTTTGGATGAAAAATTATATTGATATTGGAAATAAGCTGCTTGATGTCTTTCGATGCTAATGAACACTTGAAGACATGTTGGATATCCTCAGTATAGAGATCACATCTGGGGCAGTAGGGATTTGAATATTGTTCTGGGTATAGTTTGTGGAGATTTTTTCTTGTGGAAAGTGTTCCTAAGAGCAATTTGACTTTGAAAGCAATTAGATCACTATATTTGTTAGTTTTGGTGTTTTTGATTTTCTTGTTGGATTTGTTGATGATTTTAAGACCATGTGGGTTGTGGATGAAATTGAATATTTTTAGTATTGATATATTCTTACAGATTATATATGTTTTGGTGATGCTTAAAATTTTCTTGCATCATCTGATGCTGCTACCAAATTGCAAGTTGTTAATTTGTGAATTTTTTGAAAAGTATAAGGGTGGATTAATCTATTGAATAGAATTGCTGGATTTTGGATTAGACTTGGATCTGGCATAAGTAATTTAAATTGACTTTTTTCATATTAGCTTATTTATTTCTACTGTTATTGATACAAAGTTGATTTTGGCCATTTTCCTTAAATAGTTAGAAATGTCTTGAAATATTTTTCTGTTGTCTCTAATTTCTATTGTGCTATTGTTTGGGCACCAATAGAGAATGTTGAAAATGATATACAGGAGGTTACCTAGCAGGTAGCTTGAGTTGACTATATCAATCCTGATATTATTTGCGATAACTTGATTCTAGTGATATTAAAGGTAACAGTGTTAATAGAAGCCAATTCTTTGAAGTATTAAAATGGAAGGAAAGGCTAAGAAGTTGTTAACAGATTAAAAAATACTTTTGCTTCCTTGGAATATATTAGATAGTTCTTTGATTATATTTCTTAGGCAATATTTGGCTGAACTGCTAGAATTAAAAAATACCCATAAGGAGAATGTTGTTGAGCTTATAAAGATTAATGTATAGAGGCCTGTGATAGGAGTTTCTAGTAGATACCCTCTGCACTTAGAAATAAAGTATAAGTTTATTATTACAAAATTACAATATTTAATATGCATTTTAAAAACAACTAGCTCCTTACGTGTCACAATATGACACATACAGTAATTATTTAAGATTTTATAAATTTAATTATATGTAAGAAATATAAATATATATTTATTATTTATTTTTATATAAAATATGAATTTTTTTTATAAAATTTCTTTATATACAATATTTTTAGTTCTATTGCAACCAGGCGGAAGCTTAACTCGTACAGATGATAAGCATTTTGCTCTTGAAAAAGCAACATAAAGCTGTCCATGACTAAAAACTGAACTTGTAAGCATTAAACCAATCTGTTGAAATGTTTGACCTTGTGACTTATTAATAGTCATAGCAAATGCAAGTCGAATAGGAAATTGAGTTCTTGTAAAATAAAAAGGTAAAAAATTATCTATTGGCTGTAATTTAATTCTTGGTATTAAAACTCGTTGTCCAGTAACACTTCCAGTTATAAGTTCACAATCTAGAACATGATTATGCATTCGTCTTATAATCATTCGTGTTCCATTACAAAGACCTTGATTAACATTAAGATTATGTAACAACATAACAATAGCTCCTTGCTTCAATATTAAACGATGTGGTGGTAGTCCATTTGGAGTAAGAGAATATAAAAATTCTTCTGGAAATTCAGTTGGATCTTCGCCATGATCGTAAACTGCCTTATCTATACTTAAATATATTTTTTCTTGTCCTTGCATTTTTTTAATTATTTCATTATTTACCTCCTGTTGTCATAAGGGTACTGTTGTGCTACCATCTCTTCTACCATTTCCAGATGAGCTTAGACTACTTTTTCTTCGGGAGCATCCACTATCTTCAGCATTTTATAATCATATTCGTAAGTATAATAGTGCTATGGCGTTTGCTTCTGTTGTATCAAACATTCAGTCACCTTCTGGCCGTGGACCATTTGTATACAAGATATCGGGACAGATGTATCATTTTCTAGGATCAGCACAACCAAATGAAGGTGATATTCCATCCTTTGGGCAACTCTATTTCTTAGACACAGCTGATGCCCAAGAATATAGAAATAATAATCCAGTAAATGCAAAGCTTGATCCTGCATTATTTTTGTTACTAGATTCGATATTACGGCAAGTAAGCCCATTTTCGCAAGCCTTCGAAATGATGAGGGAGATGGAACAAGAGAAACATGGTGCAGCAATACAACAAGGTCGTCAACCAATGGAGGTACAGATGGTTTTTGATAATGATCGCCGTCTTGATCAGCGTCATTACAATGCATCACGGGTGAATGAGGTTGCAGCAATTTTTGTTGGTTCCAGTGATAATATTTTTCCTTCTCACTCTCTTGCTATACATCCACGTGGTGGCCAGCTCAAGACAATTCCAATTATCAATGGTGACTGTGACCCAATGTCATATCTATTATTATTTCCAAGAGGTGATAAAGGATGGCATCCATATATATTAAATAATAGACAAGATCAAACAGGACGGAAATATATATCAATGTTACAATTTTACTGTTATAGGATATCTCAAAGGAATACTTTTAATCCAATCCTGTATGCCGCTGAACTCTTTCAACAGTACTTAGTTGATGCATATGTAAAGGTTGAAGAAACAAGACTAAACTTTCAGCATCAAAATCAAACAATATTGCGAGCCGAAACATATCAGGGACTATCTGATTATTTGGCTATTAATGCTGAGGAAAGAGAAACTATTGCGGGACGTGCAATTGTATTATCATCAAGTTTTTCAGGAAGTCCAAGAGCAATGCAGCAAAGTTATCAAGATGCTATGGCAATATGTCGAGCATTTGGTAAGCCTGATATTTTCCTAACTATCACATGTAATCCGGCTTGAAAGGAAATTACTCAATCTCTATATCCTGGACAGATTGCTGCTAATCGACCAGATATTGTAGACAAAGTATTTAAGCTTAAACTAGATATGCTAATGGAAGATTTGCTAAAGAATGAAATCCTTGGAAAAGTAATTGCATATACAAGAGTAGTTGAATTTCAAAAGCGTGGATTACCTCATTGTCATATGCTATTAATTCTTGCTGATGAAAACAAACCACAAGATCAAGATACTATCGATCGCATAATAAGTTGTGAAATACCAGATCAAACTGTATATCCACGATTATATGAAATTGTCACAAAAACTATGGTTCATGGTCCATGTGGTCATTTAAATTATAAAGCACCATGTATGGATGGAGAAAATAATCCTGTATGCATAAAAGATTATCCCAAAAACTTTCGTCAAGAGACTATTTTAAATGATGATGGATTCTCAAAGTACCGGCGAAGAGATACTGGTAGAACAATAAAAATTGGAAAACATGAAGTAAACAATCGATGGATTGTACCATATAATCCATATTTATTGTTAAAGTATCAAGCTCATATTAATGTTGAAATCTGTTCTACAGTAAAAAGCTTCAAATATCTCTATAAGTATATATTCAAGGGTTATGATTGTGCTAGATTTCGACTTAAAACCGTTGGAAGCAATCAAGTACAAATACTTGATCATGATGAAATCTCAGCTTTTATTGATTCCCGCTATATCAGTGCACCTGAAGCATTTTGGCGATTAAGTGAATATACAATGCAAGAAAAGTCACATACTATTATTCGATTGCCAGTACACTTACCAAAAGAGCAAAATGTTTTCTTTAGTATTGGAAATGAAACTAAAGCTCTTAATACTGCAGAAACCCAGCATACAATGTTAACTGCATGGTTTAAATTAAATGAAAATGACATTAATGCAAGAACGATTACATATCATAATATTCCACTGTTCTATACATTTCAAAAGTCAACTAAAATATGGAAAAAGC